TTTTTTTTTTTTTTGACAATGTGGACGCGTGTCCATTATATTGAACTAGAGATAGAAGTATAGAAAAAACTTTTGCTTTTTCTTATCAGTCCATAAAAAACTTCTACTTGTACCTTACATATGCTTAAAAAGGTAGACTTTTTATGTGGATACATTATGGAGGATACACCTAATATATTTACCTCTGGTGACTTCTGAGGTATGTCAACCTTAGACCTCAATGTCCTTAGTTTATCTTTATTCCACTCTAGTATCTAGATGTTTAAGTTTTGATTTCATGTCTTGCTGCCGAATCATGGCAAACCATTGGTGAAAACTTCACTTGACGGTTGATTAGAACAGGTTTAGGAAACTATTTCAACTTATTTACTTTAAAGATTTTGATACATCATACATTCAGCCTTGCATACCTACGTGATTAAACCTTTGTTATGATCTTGATCACTCTTCATTTTGACAAGAAGAAAATTAAAGAATGTCAGTTTTGTGAAATTTGTGATAACTTCTGTAGTTTCTTTGATTTAAGATTCCCTTTTCCGTCTCTTATCTTTCTCTTAAGGCAATAATTTACAAGTACAATTAAAGCTTAACACAAGTAAGAAGCTAGTGAATTACAATGATCTATTTAAAAAAAATGTTTTAGTTATAGGACTTAAATTTTATTATCTGATTTAGATCTTATTCTGTAACTTTTTTGGTCAAGAATTGAATTCGAACATACCCTATAACTAAGCGAACAATCAACATGATTCCTACATAAGCTCGTGCGCACACCCTTCTTGCAATGAAAAAAGTGCCGGGACGCCCAAACCTACCGTAGACGTCTTTCTTATTGGCCATGTGCTCCTTCTCCCCTTTTTCAATGAAATACTTAAAGTTATTTATTTCGGATATTGAGGCGACTAGACACTTTTTCCTTGTTAATGTGATAAAAAATATTAGTCAAGTAGAAACAAAAGTATTACTCAAGTAGAAATATAGAAGTTACTTTTCTTTAAACTCTATGAAATAATTGTTTCTTTAGACTAGAAGCAAAATAAACACTCTGAAGAATCATGACTTTAAAAATGGTTTTGACAGCTACTACAGACTCTCTTTTAAATCATTTTTAATGAACTATGTAGATTAATTTTTCTCTGCAGATATTTATTTATTTGATTTTCTATTAGTCAATCTCTTCTTCTTTTGACAGAAAGAACTTCTAGGTGTAGTTCCACTGGCAAATACATGCTGAGGATTTGATTAGCCTTTATGATGTATCATTAACTACTTCTAGTATCAGTACGTGTTAATTGTATTTGGTCTCGATGGCTTTAGAAAAACTTGATATTGCTTTTGGTGACCTGATTGTAGTAACAAATTTCACAAACTAACTCAAAATGGAATTAACTACTCTTGAGAACTAGGTGTTTGACTTCAAGCTCGGGTTTTGGAAGAAAGCCAAGTGTCTTGGCCCAAGGCTTTGGTCTAGTGGTAAGTGCATAGAGCGTGATGTATGGGTTAGGCACATGTGACAGCTTTGAACTCGTTGTAGACCAAAAGCCTGGAATTTAAGTGGAGAAGGGTAAAGGGACGGGTCTATTATCTACTGAAAAATAAATAACTCAAGCCGATGGTCTTTCAGCAGGGTGGAACGAGGAAAATATAATACCAACCACTCAACTAGATCAAGCACAGCCTGTTTCTCCACCTAAAAAAAACCCTATGTGGCCATTCCTCTTGTCAGGACAAAGTACCTTTCGACTCACTTTCTTCATCCGTACGGTTCCGCGACTCCTCATTCTCCTTCATTTGATCTCAATGGCTCCTCCATCATGATCTAACTTCTTTCTTCTTTTGCTCCCTGCCACTGATTTCCAGAATGGAATCTCCATAGGCTATGTAACTGCCATGAATATGTTGCGATTCTCCAGATGAGATTGAAGGCAATCCTCTTTCAGATGTTCACTTTTTTCAGAGAGCTTGGATGGCCTTAAAAGTCAAAAATAAAGGAAAGAAAGGGTCAAAAGAATGAAGTGAAACCTATCTTCACGTTGTGAAAGGAGTTGCAGCAACACAACTTTGTACCCAGACTAATATGTATTGAACTTCTCTTCCGGAATTCACAAAAGTTGCGGAGGGTTGACCATTTTGATGCTGGAAAATTACGTACCCTTTTTGATCCTTCACAATTTTAATGGAGTGCCTACTGGATGGTTCTGTAGGTACCTCATATCTAAGAAATCTCTCTGCCTACATTTGACTCCTTTCCTTTTCTGCCTTACACTTTACTTTATCAATGTGAATTACTTGAATGCTATACTTAACAAATTGAGTCCCTGGGGCTGTGCTCAGCCATATTCTTGATGTTAAATCCCATCAAGCTTGTTATTCAGAAGTTTCCGTTATTATCTTACAATATTGGATTTGGTGCATCGGTGTTTCTTTCAACTGGAATTGCATAATCTTATCCGTTGATTCTATTGCATAGAGTAATACTACCTTCATCCAAATAGAGTTGCCTAATTCAGGATTGTGGTTAAAATTGACCAACTTGGTCTAGATTCAGCAGTAATTGATTAGTTTTCTTTTCCAAATTAAAACGTAGAAATAAGTTACATGAAAGATACTGTAACTATATATGTTTGCATTTAAACTATATCAGAATAAGAAGATGAGAAAACCATAGTGGGAAAGAAATGTCTTAGATTCCCCAAGTAAAAGGAATGGAAAGAGTAACAAGTTTCCTTTATATACTGAACGAGCTAGAGTTGCTGAAAAGGAGCTATACATTGTTTATGCCTGCTGAGCCCATTAGATCTTCCATTGAGACTAAATCAAATATGATGATTGACAAAATTGTAGAAACAAAATCAAACTGTCAAAGAGAAATCCAGAAATAGGAAGCTGCGCATGGAGAATAAAGGACTGTGTATGACTGCTACCAAATATTTCCTTGACATTATTACTATGGGTTTTTATATATATACTGATAAGCTAGTATTGTTCCGGGTTCTCCATAAGGAAGCTTTCCTGTGAAGTTCAGCTTTTGGTTAGTTGTATGCCATTCTTAACGTAGAGCAGAACTTTACCATCATTGCTGGCATAGCGTTAAAAGCTTCATGAAGGTGAGAATTTTCTAGGTATCGCAAAAACCTGATATTGAGTCTTGAAATTTATACTCAAATGTGAGCAAGAGGCTTTACGCTCTTTTTCAACTTTCCTAGTAATGAAAAACTGAATGATTTTCGGAATTACATCTATCACCCTGCTTGCTTCACATATATACCCAGGCTTATCAATGATACAAAGCAACAGATGCATAATTGACAGGCCATCCTTGCTGAACTCTTGTCCTGCACTTCGCTGGTATGAACATTCATCGGTGGAAACTGCCCTGCAGTTCTGCAGTAGATCTCTGAGGCCAAAGATAGATGAACGTGCTTATATGTTGTAAATTTGTGGTGGTGAGGCATTGGATTTCTTATCTTTGAGCCAAATTATGCTCTCTGTGCGACATGTTTCCCAAGTTATGGGTCGTAGTTTCCTTTAAACCCTCCCTGAATTCTTTACATCTGCTGTTGGGTTTTCCTTGTTTTCTCTTAACGCAATTATCTTTCTTTAGTATTGGGATATTGGGACCTTTTTGATGATATGTGGATTAGTATTTCGTATGATTTCTTTTTGTTGTTTATGGAGATTGGAATATTGCCCTTTCTCTTAAAGTTTTATTTATATTTACTCTATTCCTCTCCCTCATTACGTTGGTTCTGCTACGTAATTATAACTTCATTGTCTCACATTTTACAGAAATTTCATAAAGCCTTTGTTTGTTAGTAATAAGTTCCAAAAGTAAATAATGACTACTGAAGAATTATATGCCCTGGGTCCCTGGCTAAGCCAGGATGGATTGTTAATTCAGAGAAAACTGAGAGAATGATTAGACATCTGGAATTACCTAACCACAATATGTGTGTGACATTTTTTAATAATGTGTTTACGTTCCTATGTATATAGAAAATTGGTAGTAACATCCATGTCGTATGCCCCGAGAGAACATCATGGTACCAAGTCCAAAAGGTGAGCAACACTTTGGAGAAAAATTAAAGGTCAAAACTCAAAACAGACAATTCCCTTTACGTTTGTAGCATTAATCGTCAATACAAGTTTGGATTAGCATATCTGACCTTTGACCTTTGGGAATCTAATAAATATATGCTTTGTGGTGCTGTACAACCGACACTAGTTGTATGGGGTTCCTTTTTGTTTCACAAATTTGTGGATCCCAATCTTACACTTCTGGGTCCACAAAATTTGGGTCCAGAAAATTGTGAAACAAAAAAGTTGTCTCATACAACTAATGTCAGTTGTATGAGACACAAAATAAAATTTTCCGTGGTGCTGTCATCTCTCTAACAGCACCACGGAAATATATATAATCTCTTAACCCTATAGTGAATTCAGATATGCTGCGCTAGGAGCTAATGAAAGTCATCTAGCTCATCTAACTCAATAGGCTACTGGTGCTTATATTTTGCCTTAGCACTTACGAAGTAGACGTCATTTATTGAGTTGAAGTGAAGTCTTTCCGTTCCCGATTCAATTACAGCTGTTCCCGCTAAAGCCCGATCTGATTCCGCTTGAGCGGCAGAGAGAAATCCTGATCTTCGGAGT